TTATTGTACTCACTGACACAATGTTGGGGGTTATTATTGTACTCACTGACACCAATGTTGGGTTATTATTGCAGTCACTGACACCAATGTTGGGGGTTATTATTGTACTCATTGACACCAATATTGGGGTTATTATTGCAGTCACTGACACCAGTGTTGGGGATTATTAATGCACTCACTGACACCATGTTGGGGGTTATTATTGTACTCACTGACATCAATGGTGGGGGTTATTTTGTACTCACTGACACCAATGTTGGGGGTTATTATTGTGACTCACTGACACCAATGTTAGGGGTTATTATTGCACTCATGACACATGTTGAGTGCTTATTATTTGTATGGGACTCTGGAAGTGTCAGTGGCCTTTGATGCCCTCTATAATTTTAAAATTGACCACACTACGTTTAGAGATATGGTGGGAATATCAGAGGAGAGGAGGAGATCACACCACAATGCTGGCTGAATCACTACTCTGTGTCTGAGAAGGAGGAAGATGATGCCACCTTCATGAGTCAATCAGTTATCTCCTCTGTGGGCTGTAGATGGATTGGTTGGCCATTCTGGCCACAGATGTGACTTGTCTCTGCTGTTTGTGTCTCTACCAGCACTTTGTAGTACTGGACCTGCTTGTACAGTTGATCACTCCCTTACCTCCAGTGCCAAACATTGACCTCTGCTTTTAGGTCAGTTTGCCATTCTGTATTTCTGGGTGGAGGTTTGAACCTTTTGCTAATATGGGCATGGGGGGGTTGTAAATGTGAGTTACAACATTTTAGGTGGTTTAGGCCTCATTCACATGTGGTACACAAATAGGTATGCCGTAGAGGGCTGTGTTTACTGCATGTGACGTAGCAACTACAGGGTGCCATTGCACAGCCCAAAAAGTTTTGAGAATGACACAAATATTAATTTACCTGCAAGGAAACATGTGCAGACTTTATTGCTTTGCACAAAAATGGATTCATAGGCAAGAATATTACTGCTCAGGGGCGGACTGACCATTCGGAAACTCGGGCACTGGCCGAGGGCCGGGGGCCAGTAGGGGGCCCCATGAGATACCCCTGGTACTTTTTCATAGGCTTTTTTGGGTGTGGTTTGAGCATGGGCGAGGACACAGGGGCCCCATGATCCCCTATTGCACGGGGGGGCCCCATGAGTTGTCAGTCCGCTCCTGTTACTGCTACTAAGATTGCAGCTAAATCAACCATTTATCTGATCATCAAGAAAATGAGAGGTTCAATTGTTGTGAAGAAGGCTTCGGGGTGCCCAAAAAAGTCCAGAAAGTGCATGGACCGTTTCCTAAAGTTGATTCAGCTGCAGGATTGGGCCACCACCAGTGCAGAGCTTGCTCAGGAATGGCAGCAGGCAGGTGTGGGTACATCTGCACACACAGTGAGATGAAGACTTTTGGAAGATGGCCTGGTGTCAAGAAGGGCAGCAAAGAAGCTACTTTTCTCCAGGAAAAACATCTGGGACAGACTGATATTCTGCAAAAAGTACAGGGATTGGACTGCTGAGGACTGGGGGAAAAGTCATTTTCTCTGATATATACTTTTTTCCGATTGTTTGGGGCATCTGGAAAAAACCTTGTCTGGAGAAGAAACAGCGAGCACTACCATCAATCCTGTGTCATGCCAACAGTAAAGCATCCTTGGACCATACATGTGTGGGGTTGCTTCTCAGAGCCAAGGGAGTGGGCTCACTCACAATTGTGCCTATGAACACATGAATAAGGAATGGTACAAAAACATCCTCCAAGACCAACTTTTCCCAACCATCCAAGAACTGTTTGGTAAGGAACAATGCATTTTCCAGCATGGTGGAGCACCTTGCCATAAGGAAAAAGTGATAACTAAGTGACTTGGGGGAACAAAACATCAAAATGTTGGGTCCATGGCCAGGAAACTCCCCAGACCTTAATCCCATTGAGAACTTGTGGTCAATCCTAAAGAGGCGAGTGAACAAAAAAACTACACAATTCTGACAAACTCAAAGCATTGGTTATGCAAGAACGAGCTGCCATCAGTCAGGATGTGGCCCAGAAGTGGATTGGCCGCATGCCAGGGTGAACTGCAGAGGTCTTGGAAGAAGAGTCAACACTGCAAATACTGACTCTTTGCATAAACTTCATGTAATTGTCAATAAAAGCCTTTGACACTTACAGTATGAAATGCTTGTAATTATACTTCAGTATATCATAGTAACATCTGACAAAAAGATCTAAAAACACTGAAGCAGTAAACTTTGTGAAAATTAATATTTGTGTCATTCTCAAAACTTTTGGCCACGGCTGTAGGTACTTACACCACATCAAATAAAAGGCAGATTCAGCAGTGCAGAAGGCACACAGTACTTACATTCAGTAGTTGCCGGATGTTGCTTCCTTAACCACTTCCCGTCTGGCCCATGTATATAAACGGCCGAACGGGCAGTGCAGGAGCGGGTTGCCGTTCATAAATGGCGTCCGCCATTTTGGACTGTGCCCGCTCCCACGGAGCGCGAGGCACCGAGATCCGGTACCAGCTGTGTCTGCAGGACACATTGGAACACCAATCACTGTACGGGACCTCTGTGTGAGATCCCGATCATGTGATCACTGATTGGCCAATCAGTGATCACATGAATAGTAGTAAGCAAGATGTCCCTTCTGACATCATTGCTTACTGTGTGTGAAATCTGTGAATGATCACAGAGGTCACATGGTACAGGCTATTCACAACAACCTTGTACCATGTGACAAGCTGTGACCAGTCACAGCTCTCACAATATTTCTCAATGGCTACAAGAATGCAGCCAGAGAGAAAGAAATTATTGCTTTTACAGCCTTTATGGATGTAAAACCAATCAGTGTACAAAAAAAAAAAAAATCTTCATCACCCCCCCACAAGTAGTACAGTATGTAAAAAAAAAAAAAAAAATAATAATATAAAAAAATAAACTAAAAATGTGAAAAAAAAATTATAATTTTTTGATTCTAAACTGATTTGGGTTATAATTTTTTTTGCAAAAAAGAGATAACTGAATACATTTTGGCCAAGATTTATGAAGAAAGAATATTTATTTGCAAAATTGTATAAGAAAAACACCTTTTTTCAAAATGTTTGGACTTTTTCATTTATATAGCAAAAAGAAAATAAAAATCCCAGTGGTGAATAAATACAACTAAAATAAAGTTTAATATCTGTCTCAAAAAATTCTAAACAATTCACATGGGTACAGTGTTGCATGACCGCGCAATTGTCATTCAAAGTGTGATAGCACTGAAAGCTGAAAATTGGCCTGGACAGGAAGGGGGTAAAAGTGTCCGGACTGGAAGTGGTTAAGCAGATTTGCTTGTGGCCGATTATGTGATCTGCTGAGAGGGTTGTTGCACTATCGTACAGGCGTGCAGGTTCACACCAGACTGGTATGCTGTTTACATATGGAGAAGTTTCTTCTTCTCATCGCAGGTACAAACAGGAGGTGTCCAGGATGTCCCTAGCCTTTCCCTTCTCCACAGGAACCTGTGCCTAGGCACAGCCTACCTCTCCCCATCACAAGTGGATGTCTGTCCCTAGCTGCTTTCCCCACACTGCAGGGCTCATCACATGGCCACAGCAGCAAGGGCTGTATAAGACCCCTCTTTTTCAAAAATGGCCAGCCAAATCTTGAGAGAACATTGTGTCCAGTCAGACATAGGCTCCCCAAGATGGCACCCAGAGTACATGGCAAACTGGTGCCATGCCTGACTTCCCTCAGAAGACATTAGGAAGCTAAAGTGAAATAAGTGCAGAATTTAGGGCATCCACTTTACATATCACCATCCCATACATAGCTTAGCTATAGTACAAAGATCAAAAGGTATTTAAAAAAGAAATACAGTATATACATTTTTTATTTGTATTGCTAACACGCATTACAATTCAATAGCAACATGTGGTTAAAAAAAAAAAACCACACAAAGATGGTATTATCATAGAATACACAACATATAAGGATGTTGTTCACAGATAATCGCAAATAACATAACACCCAAACAATAGCGCAGTACTGTGGGGTCCGCGTCAATGCGTTTCATGGATTCCCACTTTCTCAGGACCGGGTTTTTCTATCCCATGTGTGGGTGCCAGATAAATCATTGACTTCATTCACCATAGTAAATGCATTGTAGATTGTAACATTGTCCAGACATGCAAATCCTCACCAGGCACATAGACCCTCATTGCAGATCCACATCAATCATTCAGCAATGAATATCCTCTCCACCACAATGAACAAAGACTCCCAGCTGCTGAAAGGAGTGGTAGGGTGGGGTGGGGTGGATACAATGGTGCAGGGAGGTTCAGGCTGGGGTGGAAAGAGGGGTGCAGGGAGGTTTAGAGAGGGGTGGAAAGAGGGGTGCAGGGAGGTTCAGAGGGGTGGAAAGAGGGGGGAGTAGGGAGGTTCAGACTGGGGTGGAAAAGAGGGGTGCAGAGAGGAGGTTCAGAGTGAGGTGGAAAGGAGGGTGCAGGGAGGCTCAGAGTGGAGTGGAAAGGCATGTACACGGAAGTTCAGATTGGTGTGGAAAAGAGGGTGCATGGAAGTTTAGATTGGGGTGGAAAGGAGTGTGCACGGAGGTTCAGATTGGGGTGGAAAATAGGATGTAGGGAGGTTCAGAGTGGCATGGAAAGAAAGGTGCAGAAAGGGTTAGAAGAAAGTTCAAAAAAAGGGTGCAGGGGGTTTTAGAGGGAGGTGGAAAGGAGGGTGCAGAAAATTTCAGGGTGAGATAGAAAGAAGGGTGCAGGAAAGGTTCAGAGTGGGTTGGAGTGATTCTTCCAGAATCAACCATTCCTGACTTCTCCCTAGAAGACAGAACAAAAGGGAAGCACTTCTATTGTTGGGCATTCTAATTATGGAATTAAGTGAAGGTTGAGGGGAGGTTCAGATTGGGGTGAAAAGGAATGTGTGAGGAGGTTCAAAGGGAGGAGGAAAGAAGGATGCAGAAAGTGCGGTGGAAAGAGGGGTGCTGGGAGGTTCAGATTAAGGTGGAGCAGGGGCGGACTGACAACTCATGGGGCCCCTGGGCAATAAGGGATCATGGGGCCCCTGTGTCCTCACCCACACCCAAAAAAGCCTATGAAAAAGGTACCAGGGGCATCTCATGGGGCCCCCTACTGACCCAGGGCCCTCGGGCAGTGCCTGAGTTCCCAAATGGTCACTCCGCCCCTGGGGTGGAGCGATTCTTCCAGAATCAACTTTGGTGCCATTCTTGACTTCAGGTGAGGACATTTAATGGAGAAGTGAGAACTAAGTGCCTAACGCTCTGCTACGTGCTGACCAGAGTTAAAGAATGCACAAGGCATTATAGGTAAGAGCCACAATTTGCCCACTCAGGGTGGTGAATTCATCACCGGGCAAATCTGAATCTCAAGGCTACTCCTGACCTGCATATTTGTTCCAACTTAGTAACTTGAAGCTACTGGATAATTGTGACAGCCAGGGAACTAATAATTCAGAATAGGAGGTAACCATTGGCAGCCCCCATATGTGTTCTGTACAGGTTCTCTTTACTTTGACACATGAAGAGGAATTACCTCTCTGCCATCATCCTGAACTTTATATAATTTAATCAGGTGACACCGTATCAGCACTTATATCTCAGATCTCATTTTGTAACTTGCAGAGAGTCGGTCCAAACTCCATGCTCCCATCCCGTGACTGCAATCTGTGAACCTGGTCTCATCTTGTGACTGCAATTTGTAAGGGTGGCCAGGGACATAAATCTCCTCTGCACCTGCTCCAACACACTGACTTCTCGATCAGTGCTCACCACCTCTCACCATGTGCACAGGCAAATGTTCCAAATGCATCGGGTGCACCCTCATCCCCCTCTCCATCATCTGCATCACATGTAACGCCATTCTCTTTTTTCCGGGATGGAGCACAGAGCCGTCCAAGGAGGCCGGGACTAAGCTGACCACAGAAGTTACCATGTATTTGGGAATTGTAGGAGGCGGCATTTTGGTAAGATGGATCCTTTCAGCTTACTAATACAAAATACTTTTTAAAATGGAAAAAATGTGTTCATTCCAATATACAGTATGCTATAATTCTTACACATCACAGCGATGAGGGGAGTGGTTGAGTTTGTTACAAAATTAACATTTGCCACCGGTGAACTTTTGCTGAATTTGAAAAGATGGTCAATGAGCTGGTAAACTTCACTTCAAAAAAATTAAAAAGTTAACGAGAGGCCATTTTTTGGAACAGGTTCACCAGTCTCCCTCTGAAACGTGTTATTTTATTTTTCACACAAATGTAAAAATCCTCATTTTTGGCTAGGAAAGTCATTAAAAAAACAAAAAACAGAATGCTGTATATTTTCTGAACACAGTTGCAGTTGCGATTTTTTTACATTGCACAACTGGTTATTAAATCTATATTTTCAATAAAAAAATATACTAAAATAAATTTTGGTGCTCACAAATACAATTTAATTGCCAATGTTAAAAAAAATTAAAGAAAAGATGAGGCTGTGCTGAGTAATTAGATACCAAACATGTCCAGCCTTAAGTTTATAAATGCGATTCTTGTGAGCTACTATGGTGTATTTATATTTGTGAGAAATGTATTATTTTAACATGTGTGTATTTATATTTAATATACAAAATTGATTAAGTGAGTAAAATAAATGAAATATAAATAATTAAGTGACTAACTTAAAATTAATTAAGTAAATAAATTAATACAATTAAATGAGTGGGTCGCTTACACTATACACATACTCATACCAATGTGTCTTAATCAAATTAAAAAAAAAAACACACTTTGTGTCACGCTCCACTATCAATATACACATAAATCCATTGGTGCAAAACAATAAACTGTGTCCTAGTATATTTCCACAACGTGATATTAGCAATCACGCTAGTGTTGCATGCATATCTTCACACAGAAAATCCTCAAAACAATCCGTGATCCTATAGTGTCTTCTATAGTATATTACAAAAAATGAAATATAGTCCACCAAATTTATATATATATATATACTGTGCTTCTTCACCAGTTGTGCTCTCACATGATGTGTATGAGCAAACCGTTAAGTGAGGTCATACAAGCTCGTGTCCCTTTAATTGGACTCAGATTGGGAAATTGGATATCCCAGATGGATGGATGGATGGATGAATGGAGTTTTTTCCTTTTTTCCCAGCAGGGGGTCTCGCCGTTATCAAGAGATCCTTTTCCTGGATGTGGATGGATGGATGGAGTTATCCCTCTTCCCACTAGGGGGTCTCTTGGCTCCTTTCAGGGCTCGTTCACACTAGGCTGTTTCGCCAACGCTTGCCAAAACGCCCCTATAGCGTTTGGCAAGCGTTGGTCCGGTGTTTGCGGAGCGTTTTTAACGCTCGGCAAACGCTCCGCAAACGCCGCATGCGCGGTTTAGCGGCGGTTGCTAGGCGTTTGCCGAGCGTTAATAACGCCCCACAAACGCCTATAATGCATTTGAGTGGTGTTACCGCTCCGCAAACGCCCCGCAACCGCACCGCAAACGCCGGCCGGGCGTTTGCGGAGCGGCACCATAGACGAGAATAGGAGGCTTCAAAGCCTCCTGACTCGACCAGAGGCGTCCGTTTTGCCGCGACACAACGCGACGCAAACGCTCCTGTTAGAACAGCACCATGTGCTGTAATGTGCAGAATTGGCAGAGGCGTTTGGGAAGCGGTAAAAACGCTTCCCAAACGCCTCTCTGCCGCCTGCACACAAGGCTAGTGTGAACGTAGCCTCAGACTTTTTTTCAATTCTTAGATGTGATGGCTGCATTAGTTTTCTTTTTTAGACTTGACTATGACTATGAGTGGCTGTAAAATGGTAAAAATTTGCAGTACACAAAATTATCACTTGACGATGCTTTAAATGCCTTTACAACTCATCAATTTAGAATTGACTCTAAATGAGGGGTCTAAAATTATTGCTCTCACTCCAAAGTGCATAGTAATAACCAATATATGTTGTGCAATTGTTTTATATACAGTAGATGTGCATGCCCTAGGTGCATGTTTTTTGCTTTTACATTTTTACATTTTTTTTAAATTATACTTTTATATTTTTAAATACTTTATTGTATTGCTATCACTCAAGCTCCTGCTTGCCATCTGAAACCCACTGCAGTGGTCCCAGGCTTTCAAATTGAGCAGGAGAGCCCGTGAACCATGGACTGGGGGGGGGGGGGGGGGCATGAATTTGTTTTAACCCATTGAGCTCAAAGGAGCTTTCATAGCCAGGCTACTGTAGAAAATGACCCAAATTCAAGATTCCAATGAGTTTATTAAATTATTAAACCATGCAGCAAAGCATATAATAACCTTGATTTTCTACAGTCAGGCAAGACTGGGACTTTGAATGGGTGCGGGAGAGGGAGCAGAGGTGGACTGACCATTCGAGCACTCGGGCACTGCCCAAGGGCCCGGGGTCAGTAGGGGGCCCCATGAAATGCCCCTGGTACCTTTTTATAGGCATTTTTGGGTGTGCTTTGAGTGTTGGCAAGGACATAGGGACCCCATGATCCCCTATTGCCCGGGGCCCCATGAGTTGTCAGTCCACCCCTGGAAAGGAGATAACTTGGGTCCCCCATGTGGAAACAAATTAAATGACTTGCATTGGAAAGGAACGTCCATAGCACTCAGGATCCGGTTGAAGCCCATTGCCTTCTTAAAACAACCAAAAACCAACTTCAAGGCAGACTTTGGGCTCTTTGCTCCCCCATTAACTACCCCTGCACCTTGATGACTGTATTTTTTGTAAAAAGTTAGAATTTTTTTTTTTTCACTTTTGCAGCTGAATTGGCACAATATCTACATTATATTTGTTAAATGTTCTCAGTCACAGAGCATAACCTAAAATAAAATAAAAAATGCCTTTTTACTTGCTTTTTTTGCTTGCCTAAAATCATACCTAGTGTTCCCTTCCCATATAATGTTAATATTATATAGTAGCTGTGTATACTACAATGATTTCCTGCTTCTAGAGCAGCTATTCAGAATGAGAGTTCCATGGAACACTGGGGTTCCTCTAAAGTAGACTTTCAACCTTTTCAACACAGAGGAAATCTTAAATTAACTTTCCGGTCTCAGGGAACCCCTGCTAAAAATGAGTTTATCTAGAACTCATGACACATTGGTGTGATGGTCGGTGGGAAGAATGCTCCTTACACTTCTGGTCACTGGGCAGAATTACCTCATTATAGATAGCTAAAATGATCAATGGTGTCCGTGAGAACTTATGTCAGAATCAAAAATTGCTCATTGCTCAAGGAACCCCTAGCAACGTCTAGAGGAATCCTAAGGTTCCATGCAACCCTGGTTGCTTGTGTTGGTGTCAGGGATCCAGGTATGAGCAGAGATGTGTGGACTGACACAGGGAAGTAGCAGGCTTCAGGAACACAGGCGTAGTCAGGGCTGGAGAGGTGGAATGGTCAGGCGGGCCGTAAGGTAATGTCAGGCACCGCCCGGCGGGATCTCTATTGACCCACAGAACAGGATTCCCCAGGGCGCGGAGTCTAAGCCCCAGTCTGCCTTTTCACCATAGCCCCTGATGGTGGGGATGGACTTGGCGCAGGACTGAGATCAGGTCGCGGCCCCTGAGTGCACCCAACTGTGGTAGAGGGGTCCGCCGAGGGTATGTACCGGGGGAAAGCCTGATGTGAAGGGGCTGGCAGGTTTGGACAGTAGTGACTGGATCCGTGCAGGATGGATGGATCGTCTGGGTAGCGTCAGGCGTAGTCAGGCAGGCCATGTCAGCAACGTGTGGGCAGTGAAATACCGGAGGAGCAGGCAGAGAATAGTCAGGGTCACAAGCCGGGTTCAGTAACTCACGGGCAGCGCGGTACAGAGAATCAGGCAGAAGGATGGTCAGGCAAGCCAGGGGTTAAACAGGAGACGGTCAGCAGGGTCAGGAACAATGCAGAGTCGGCAACAAATCAGATAGGCAGAGGAACAGGAACACAAGGTACAGGGGCTCATGGGAAACAACACCAAGGCACTGACTGCAGGTCTGGCCATTCCTTAAATACCCCTCCTGCAATCAGCCTCAGGTGATGGCTGCCTGCAGG